AGAGAGAGAGAGAGATGGGGGGGGAGAGAGGGAAGAGAAAGAGAGAGAGAGGGGGAGAAAGAGAGGGGATGATTGGGAGGGAGAGTGAGTGTAAAGGAGGTCAAAAGGAATGGGACAGGCTAAGGTATTCGTCATATCTCTGGAAACAATATTTGTTCTTTGTCTAACTTGTTGGCAATGAGCAGTCAGCTGAAGTGCAATATCTTCATCGTTTTTGTTTTTTGTTGGGTTTTTTTTTGTTTTTTGTTTTTTTATCCGCCGCTTATACTCTTTTGGGTGTCGCGGGAAGAAAGAGACGTCTCTCTACCACCAGCCGGAGAGCTTGGGTCAGGGGGATGCCGTGAGTTGTTAATGTTTCCCTGACTCCATCTATCCAGGTCATATCGTTTATTGTAATTCCCTAAACATGTAAGTCTGTCGAAAGAGGACTTTTTTTCAGGAGGTACTCAATTACCGTTTTACCCCAATCCCTTTTTTCTTTTAAATATCTCCCAGTGCGTGGGTGGGTGTAAAGACATAACAAACGGTCTGCCGCCTGGTCTGTTTGGCGGGACGTGGAAGCGGGCTGTCCCAGGCCTGTTTGGAGGGACTCCTGGCCAGATCAGCGTGGACTTTGACGTAAACGAATTTGTCGGTGAGATTGTCCGGGGGGTTTGGTTTTTTTGCCGTCTCTTTTTCGCTGAGGTATTGTTTTGTCTAAAAAATATCAAAGGTGGCGTACAGTTTTTTTTCTATACCACAGATACCAAACAGATTAATAGATAGAAAACAGATTACCATTTTCCAAACCAAACGCTGATATAAGTACATTGTATATGCATGACATATCTTTGTACAAGTCGGAGACCTTACAGGGCCAAAAGTATTTGTGACCAATCTAAACTGTGTCCAAGTGGGTGTATAATGATGTCTCACGATGACAATTGGTCGCTTTTAAGTACAAGGGGGCTATCCCGAAAAATGCTGTTTTAAGAAAATCGAAGGTAAAGTTTTTGCCCCTTTTTCAGTTTCTTTAAAAGACAAGAAGAATTTTCACTATAACCAAACAAATATACCCACCAAAGAAGCCAAAATTGTCCTATAGGTAGGACAATATCCACTTTTGGTGTAGGTCAAGATGTCTGGAAACCCCTGAAATGTGGGTTAGCCGCTTGTCCTGAAAAGTGACCAATCTCCTTCACAGACAAGTCTCCGAACAGCTCACAATCCGCGCCACAAGCCACCGCAGAAGAGAGGCACAACGCCACACATTTGTGCACGGACGTTCTGGGCAAGTCTGTGCTGTTGGATCACTGTGGGCCGGAGACACGGCGTATTATGGACAGTATCATGGAGGATTGTGTCACTGACGTACTGGTAATGTGAGGGAGGAAGGGGGAGGGGTGAGGGAGGGGGAG